TTATCTCTTATTGTTTGGTTATTATGTATAAACATTTCTATTAACTTTGCAATACAATGAACAGACATAATAAAGATATAACAAATTATTGATATCGAAGTGAATTTGTTGAAAGAAAAATAAATCAAGAAATATATAATTATGATAAAAGAATGATAGACTTTAACAATTAAAGTGATAAACAGTAGTTGAGATGAAAACAAGTAGTTATGAAAGATGTATTAAAAGTTATCAATGATGAATTTTGTATATAAACAAAAGAAAAAAGTAAAAGAAAGAATAATAAATATTAAAATAAAAACAAAATGTAAATCCAAGAATAAAATAAACAGAAAGAATAAATTAAAGAGAAATAGAATAAAAAGAATATTAAGAGAAAAAGTTAATAGAAGAAGATAAATAATAACGAATTATAGAATAAATCTATAAAAATAAGAAAACAATGAATAGGATAAAGATAAATATGAAATAAATAAACTAAATAAATGAGTTAAAAGAACAGTGAACAAAGAAAAGAGATAAAGAAAATAAAAAATGATCAGTTATATGAAAAATGTTTATGAATGAGATACAGATAAATAATGTTATTAAAAAGAATAACAAGATTAAACAATAGAATAAAAATAAAAGTATTTATTTTCAGAAACCATGAAAAAAAAAGAAAATGGTGAGAAGTGATGAAAAATAAGGATATGAAAGAAAAAAAGTGAAATTATGAAGAAGAAGATGATGAAAAGAACAAAAGAAGAAAGTTGGGAATATAAAAAAGAAGATAAAAAGGAGTAAATAAAAAAAGAGATAATAAAATATGAAAAGAATGATGAAATAAGGGTGTATTTTTTATTACAGAAATTAGAAATATACAATAAAAACTGTCTAATCTATTGATATAAAATAATCAACAACATTTTAATGATATAAATTATTTTATTCATTTTTCTTTTTATGATTTTTATTTATGTGTATTATTTCTTCTCTTATTTTGATTCCTGAATAACATTCCTATCATTGCATGATTTCATATTTCACCACATTCATGGTTAAACAATTATTGTTAATATTTATGTTATCTCAAATATAATTGAAATTCAGTCATATACAGTTAAATGATACAAAACCATTCCTATTTTATCTTATGTTTCTAACTCTCTTTTGAATGTGATTTTCTCTTATTAAAGTATCATTCATTGTTGAAACCAATCAATTTATTACATAATCCAATTGATGTTGCAACTTCATCAAGTGTTGCTGGGATCATAACTTTACCCTCTATCATACTTATTTCATTTTCATTTTTATTGTTCATCTATGATTTATTGATTTATTATTTGTAGATATCATGAAAATAATATATTCAAAACTTAACTAAATTTTATTTGTTTTGATATTCAGTATCATAGAAATTCTTGATATGTTTAATTTTCTTATTTTCAATGTTTCATAAATAGTTAAATATAAACAGAAAACATGAAGTAAACAATACATGAACTTTTACTTCATATGGAACATCAATCATACAATCAATAAACTTGGACTTAGAACATGGATATCAGTAAATAAAGAAGTTCGAAAAGTAGTTAAGATTAACATTAAGAATGGATATTGACATATTAATGTTGAAAAATATATTGAAATGAAAAAGAAAAAAGATGAGATTAAGAATGGTATAGAAAAAATTATTACAATAAAATTATATTCTACAGATAACATAAAGAAGATATTAAAGCGTCATGTATTAAAACATTAAATAAATTACAATTAAAGTATCTTGATTTTTATATTATTTATCTCAATTGAATGGAGATAAGAAAATAAAGAAAACATAGATGAAGTGATTTGAATTGAAGAAACAAGAAGAGAAAATGAAAAATAGTTGAAGAATGATTAAATCTATTTGAGTATCTAATTTCAATATTAATAAGTTAGAAGGGTTATTATGCATTGCTAAAATCCAACATCAGGTAATCAATTTGATTTTCATGTTTATTATCAACAAGAAAATTACATCAATTTGTAAATAAGATAATATTCATATTACAAGATATTCATCATTATGACATTCAGAATATAATTCAACAGTAACAACACTATTTGAGAGTGAAATCGTTAATCATATTACAAACTATAAAAAGAAAATAACACAAATTGTATTAAATTTACTATTTCAAAATGAAGTTGAGTGATTCACAAATCAGTTCATGAAGAAAGAAACAAAGAGATATAACTGAAAACGAAGATGATGAACATGATATGAAGAAAAATGAGATGATTAAATAAGAAAAGAAAGGATGTAATGTTTTATTATATTTAACAGAAGATAAATGAGAAGATGAATAAACAAATAATAAATAATATTTCACAAATAATAAATTAAAGAATTAATATAAGAAAATATAATAATAAAAACAAATAGAAGAAATGAACACTGTTATATCAACATAAATAAATAGAAATCAAAAATATTTAATAACAATAATATCATATCAACAAGAAAACAAAATAAAAGATATAAATTAACAAAGAAATTTAAAGATAAAGAATTCAATAAAAATGAATAATCATAAATAATAAATGATAATTAATAAATGAATAAACATATTTGTAATTAGAAATGAGAAATGAAATGAAACATAAAATAAATAAATAGAATAGAAGAAATGTATGAAAACATAAAACAATAAATATATAGAAATAATACAAATAATAGAATAAATGATGATAAACAACATGATTATAATAAACAAACAAAAATAATGATAAATGAATACGAAGAATATAATAATAAACAACAGAATATGATTAAACAAATAAAATAAACAAAATGAATTTGAAAATATGAAAATATTATTCATTAATATTTTATTATTCTTTTCACTCTTTCTTTTTATTTATTTAAATAACTTTTATTCTCTTTATTTCATTCATTTTTCTTTCTTTTTATTTCTCATTTTTATTTTATTTCTTGTTATTACCCAAACTATTTTCATTCTTCTATTATTTATATTATTTTCATTTCTCATCATTTCTTTATTTATTATCACAACATTACTTCTAAATGAAATGAACACACATTTGTTAAATGATTAAATTAACAGAAAATAAATACAAAATGAAATAAATATCAATTATTAATTTGATTATCATCTGATTTTATTGTTACAAATATAAAACAAGAATAAATAATAAATGATAATTAAATCAGTTGTATTATTATATCTCATATTTAATAAATCAATTTAATAAAATGATGATATTTTAGAACAACTTATTCTTATTAATTTCATTCAATTGATATTTTGTTTATTTCTCATTTTTAATCATTATTTAATTTCTTCTCTTTTATTATTATTTCAGTACTTTCAATGTGCTATATCAAATGTGTTTGAAAATACATATTTCATTCTTTCTTCTTTTTAAATGAACATGTGGTTTATTCTTCATGCAAATAATTAGATAATTCATTAATGATGATTAAATAAAGAAAGTTCATAATATAAAGTATTTCATTATCATATCAAAATCAAATAATAAAATAAATGAACAACAAACAAAAGATATAATGAGAAAGAATAAGAATTAAAATAAACATTAATTAAAATATCAATTAATCATAATCATCCTTCATTATCAATTTTCATTAGGGTCTTTAAAACAATATTCTGGTATTGATTTATTCTCTCTTAGCATTTCTTCACATCCACATTTATAAAAACATGATTTTCCAAATGAAGTAATTGATGATGGTATATTAATTGTTGTTAATGATGTACATCCTTTAAAACATCCATTTACAAGTGATTTAACTTCTGATGGTATTGTATTCCCATATGATTTTCTATCTTGACATGTATATTTTATATTTTTACAGATATTTCCTTGTTCTTTCTCTTGTAAATATGTTGAATAACCTAACATCATACCATATTACATATTTAAATATTTTTCCATTATGAAATGTTTCAATATTAGCAAACAATTTTCTTGAATATTGATTTAATGGAATTGGATTAAAATGAAATCGTTCAATATTTCCTTGAAATCTTTTAACTCCATTTTCTAAATTAATAAAATCATTAATATCATTAAAATACATTGATGTTATCATTATTTCATTATATCCTAATTTCA